GTTTTTCCCAGGTGCAGTCACTGTTAAGGGCTGATGCCTCTTTGCTTCAGTTTTGAGCTTTGCCGCACTGAGAGCATCTGGCAGGATGATCTCAGGTCTGTTGGGGCTACTTGGCCCAATCGTTTTCATTTAATAAATTGATGCCAAACCATTTAAAGTGTGAAACGTAAAATCAGTGCATGACTGACCCAAAAAGGGAAACATCTCATGTCCGACATGCTTTTTCCATCAGCTAAACCAGCATTTTTTTTGTTCGATGTTCAGGTCAGTAATTTGGTAGCTGAAAATGAATTTGGTTTATTTTGCCTTTTTTTGTTTTATTTCTACCTTAGGAAAATCATAAATATGATGGTTGCCCAAAGGAAACTATATATATGGTATAAAATACTCTCTTTAAGTCTTTATAACTGGTCTGATACCACATGAGGGAATGGTCGTCTCCCCCTGGTGCTCTGGATCACTTCTGCTGTGCAGAGGTTGTTTGTACCTTACCTTGCAGATGGTTTTGTTACTTGCAACTTTATTCCTTTGCATGTTTTTTTTTTTTTTTTTTTTTTTTGTGGTACTGATGTTTTTGTATTTACTGCATATTTATCTGCAGCACTTTTGCACCCCTCAGCCAATGATAGGAAACCACTTTGTGTCTGAATTGATGTAACCCTGTGAAGCTTAATTTCTCCACTCAGCGACTTCCCTAAGGGTGGCACACCATTTATTAGTGTTGAGGAGAGATAGATTTCTCAAAGGGCCAGCTAGTTTTTTTTCTTTAATATATGAAATCCTTTTAAATCCAAATTCACTCAGGTTATTTTTGTCAGATCAAAAAATCTTTTTTGGGAGGTCTGAAATGTGTAAAATGCAGAAACAAGAAATCCTGAAGGGGGAACCCACTTTTTCACACCAGTGCTCACATGTGGAAGATGTGATCAGTGTGAAGAGCAGCCTGAGGAGGCGGGTGCTTCCTGCACTCCATGACTTCCTGCTGAGCCCAGTGCAGGTGTCCTGGGCCAAATTTAACTTAACAGCTGTGATGGGAGGAGTCGATGTGAGAAACCCGTTTTTACACTATATTATTTCCAGGGAAGTGAACTGAAACATGCTGCTTACCTCTTTGAGGAGAAAAACTCAGCCAAGTTTTATGGACTGTTTACTGTTGACAAATATGTCTATGTGTACATATCAGAACCATATACACAGAAATACTGTAAAACACCATCCACCTACACCAACAAACATCATCAAAGGAAGAGGATATTTTTTACTGCAGAACTTTTAAAATGCTTTTGCTAGCTGAGGCCTAGAAAATAAGCTTTCTTTTTTTATTTGGCTGCAGGATTGAAGGGAAGGACATCTGCTCCCTCATCAGAGACGTGCTCCACTTTTGAACAAATTGACTGCCAGTAGTAATTTCTCAGCTGGTCACTCACCCCAAAATAGTCATGGCCTTTAATCAATCTGATGCATACGGCTCTACTAATCAGGCTGCATCCTGTCATCTTTTCCTTTTAACTACATTTGAAAGGAAATATTGGTTAAGTTTAATTTTTCTCCTATATTGATTGATCTTTAAGCCTTTGTTTTCAGAGGATATAATATGCTGCATCATTAATATTTTTTATATGCTGCAATTCCTACATTTCACCTCTTGATATTAAATACAAACGTACTTAAAAAGCTAATTAATTGATAAATAAAGTTCACCTCTGCGTCATGTAATGCCACCTAAAATCCAACCCTCGCAGATTTGGTGGAGAATATCAGTAGGTAATCTACAGCAAGGAATTCACCATCTAAAGTTGTGCAGAAGGTTAAAGCTGGGTGAACTGTACAACAAAACAGAGCTTTTAAAGATCTCTCCCCAAACTATCATTTGAAAATAAAAATAAAAACAATTACTCAACTGCAAAGCTACCAAGACATGGCCATCCAGCTACACTGATAAGGAGGGCAAGGAGAGCACCAATCAGAGAAGCAGCCTAGATCTCCTTGATAAATCTAACCTCGGTAGATGAGCGGCAAGCAGAATATACTTAAAATTGCTGTTTGCAGGTTTCTGCATGTACGAAAAACATGCCAAGATCTTAAAGAAGGAATTCCGGTTATGTGAGGCTAAAACTGACAGAAATTTCATTCAGCAGAAGCAATACCCCCTGAGCTGAGGGGACGCTTTTCTCTATGAACAGGGAAGCAGAGCCGGGGTATTTCAGAATTGTCCAATTAAAACAGACCTAAATTCAATTAAGAATCACTAGCAAGACCTGGTCTGGCAAGACAGGAAGTCTTTCTAATCTGTCTAGGCCTGAGCTGTTGTGTAAGAAGGAATCCTTAATATCCCAACTTGTTTTCAATAATAAACACAAGTTGGGATATTAAGCACAGGCCAGACCAGTTCTGCCTTTTAAAATCCAATCAGAGCACGATCTAACACGCTCCAGCATGTGATCCATTTTCCGTGTGTAGATTTAGGGGATACGGAGGTAGTTTTGTAGGGAAGTTCACCTCATGTCACTGGTTGCTAGGTGACAGTGCTGGAGAGGAGCTGCTCGTTTGCAGCTATCCTCCTTGACAGATCTGAGATCGGCCTTCATGCTCCTCCTGAACAGCCAGTTGCTCTCCATATCACCTCCTGTACACACCGCCGGTTGTCATGGGGATTCCAGGGACATCTGACTAAAAAAATGACGTGAATCATGGATAAAAAAAAAAAAATGAAAATGTTCATCTAACACCGACAGCTGACATAAATTAAATTTATCCCAAGGCCAGATACTGACCCTTATTCACTGTGTTTTGCTTCATAAAGTTGTTTTTAAAAATGTCCTTTGTCACATATATATAAAATATAAAATAAAAAATCTGCAATCAGAATCATCCAATAATTTATTCACATTACGGTTGGGAGACGATAATCTTCTTCTTGCAAATATTCCTATCTTTTAGTGTCAGTTTTATCCTGTTTTCTTACCCCATTTTCCTACAAGACCACAGCATGAAACTAGTATTCCCTACATAAATGTTAAATATTTCTAATTATTTAAATTCCCTTTCTGTTGCGCCCCCCCCCCCGAACATCATGTCACTTACTTCTGATTTGGCTGCGGTGTTTGACAGTTTTTGTTCTGTATTTACTTTTTTTTGTCACACTGAATTGTTCAATGTTCTACAACAACTGGCAAGAAGCGTTTCACCCTTTCTTTTACAGGCCTGTGGAAGAATTCTGCTCCTCTCTGCTTTATAGAATTGTTTTAATTCAGCCATATTGGATGTTTTTTTTAGGATGAAGGGCATCTTGGTGGGAATATCACAGCATGTCAATCAATTTGACCCCATAGCCTTTATTTAGTTTAGTTTTACCCTTTAGTGCCAAGGTGGACTGTGTTTTACATTATTGTTCCGCCCACATAACCACAGAGTAGGTTGAGCTTAACTTATCTGATTGTTGGACAATTTCCTTAAAGGTTTGCTGGTTAATCATAGAATTTATAATTTCATCACAAGTTTTTAGGTCTTGAAACAATGCAGCAGCTCTATGCCGTCACATTACCTCTACCATATTTCATGTCCTGATGCTCCTTTTCTGAAATGCTGAGCTGGTTTAATGCCATATTTAACAGGAATTACACCTTCCAGACATATGTTTCCAAAAGTGTACTGATATTTTTCTTCCCCTTTCACTCTGAAACTCTGTCTAAGGTGAAGATATTGTCCAATATATTTTGTTAATGTTTAAATCCTGAGAACTGAGCTTGACTGAGGCAAGTGAAGCATGCAGTGCTTTATCTCTGGATAGTTTGCCATCCTCCTGGATGTGTTACTGAGGCCCTCTTGGAGCATCTTTGGTGCATTGGGACTGTGAGGTTCAGCACTTTGCCCTAGCAGCTCAATTTGTGGAGATTGGTTCTCATTTTTGTTACCTGCGTTTGCAAAGCTTAAGAAATTACTTTTGTGAATCCTCTTAAGATTGATGGATGTCCTTGACTTTTTATTTTTTGTCATTTTTTATGTATATCATATATTCAACAGTGCATGATAGAAATATTGGGCCTACTTTATGCTGTCAGACAGGTACAATTTTTAACAGGTTTTTAAGGTCAGGGCTCAGTAATCTGGGTGCAGCTAGTAAAAGTACAGAAAATAACTTTTTGGATTGAATGTTTGACTTTGCCACTAAAAGCTTTGATAGCCTAAAATATTTGAGTGTGACTAAGAAGCAAAAACAGAAGAAATCTAAAAGGAGGCAAATATATATTTTTATAGCACTTCAGTCTTGTTTAGTAATTTTTTTTACATTTAAAGTTACTAGAAAAAGTAAAAAAATAAAAATAAATAAGAGGGAGGATACTATAGGTCAAAACGACTATTGTTTCGCTGCTGGCTGACACAGAATCCAGTCTCCTGGCTACCTCGCTATGTTGGACAGGTTTTCAATGTCTTCACTTTGTTCTAAACACCCACCCAATGTGACTGCAGCACTGGTCCCATTTCAGGATGAAACATGGTCTCCATCCTCATTAACCCAAATGTCTATATTAATAAAATGAAAGCAGATCTAGACTAGAAATGGGGCAGATCGCAATGAGATGGTCCTGATTTCAGAATGCTCACGTTAACACTGAAGTAGGACATCTTCGCCCCTCCTCCACCAGGGGAATAAAGGCAGTTTCTATATAAACTTATACCCCCTGGTCCTTTTAAAACGGTCCCACCTCTCGTGAGGTATGAGCACCATAAGAAGCAGAGGGGAGAAAAAAAAAAAGGAAAGTTATGTCTAACAAATGATGCTTTAACTTGCTATTAATAAAATTAGGAATTATTGTTTTTTTTTTTTAGAGTTTTCTTTTGCAGTCCTATATATAGAAAACCCTCAAAACATCAGTCGTTGTGGTGTAAAAAAAAAAAGAAAAGAAAACGACAGCTTCGACGCTACAAGTCTGAACAGGAGCATAACAAGCCCACAACAGGTGAAAAGAGTTCTTCCAATGAAACGACAAGTTTGCTCCCATAGATAAATTAAGTCTTTTAATTCTTGTAATCTACTGCATCTTTTGACAGTGAGTGGGAGGCAGCATTAAGACAGGGGGGGAAAATCAGGAGATGCGCAGGGAACCAAACAGGAAACAATGACGTGCACAGTCATGACTCATCCAACTCATTCTGCTCATGAAACTGCCGATGTGTTCCACAGTCTCATCTTAATGAGCCGTTGAACTGACCGAGGGTTCAGGGAAACTCATAAAGCACCAACACATCCCTTGGTCCATTATGAGTTTCACGGTTACATTAAAGACAAGCTGATTTCAGCTGAGAATAGATAAATCGAGCGGAAGGAGGCGTGTGCAGTTCATGGTACCACAGTAGCACAGTTTCCTCTGAAGTCCGTCTGTTGAGAGTCCCTCTGAAGAATGTTGGGTGCCGAATCTTCCCGAGTAGTCGAACGTCAGTTCCTCCTGGGCATTAATGTCCCGTGCTGCGAACAGCGCCAGCCGTGGGATCACAGAGTGAACACGCACCGGCAGCATGAACAGGTTTGGTGCACAGGAGTGGTTAAGAAAGCGGCCCACGTTTCCCACCAGAGTGGGGTCCACAAATGTCTCAGCAATTGAGTCTGTTCCTGCGTGCTCCCTGACGGCGATGATGTAATTGTTCTCATCAGCTCTCTGGTTGAGCTGTCTCCGTTTGGCCTCTGCCAAACCGATCACCTCCCCCGCGTACTCGCACACAAATGTCCCGCGTGGGATTTCCTCCAATGTTCTAACTCCGCAACCTTTGCTCTCGGTGTGGAAGACCTCCAGCCTGAGTTGAAGCCCCCTCTGCACCACACGATTAGAGCAGGAGTCGCCGCAGGTACAGAGGGCGTTGCATTCAAAGACCGGGGAAGAGTAACCGGAATCAGTTCTGTTGAGGTGCAGCAGCCTGCCATTGCTCTCATAGGCCTGACCGTATGTCTGGAGGCAGCAGCAGCTCTCAGCGTGGCAGGAAGGGGAGTGACAGTAGCATCCTGGAAGGGTTACTTCAGCCGGGTCAATGGAGCATCCTGGTCCCTGAATGTTATCTGAGGAGTACTAAATAAGACAAGAAAAAAAATTAAAGTTGCATCAAAAATTGAATCATATATATATATACTGTATATGACACATTATAGCACCTTGCAAAAATATTGATACTGTTTGAGTTTTTTTTTATACTTGTCCCCACATTACATCCAGACACTTTCCCTAAAGTGAGACTGACAAAAAGTAGTGCATGTTGGTGTCTTTTACATGAGATGTATAAAGGTTTGTTGTTGCAAAATAGCCTGTTAAAAATATCAAGGAAAGCAAAAACTTCTGCAAACAAGTCAGACAGGTTTTAAGCTCAGATATGTTGCTGATGAAGAGATAGGCAGAAACAGAGCAGAATAGTTGTTATGTTTGACACACTTTTCCAGGCAGCTCCTGAGGATGCATTTGTGCATTTAGGCGACGGGAAATAAAGCTGTATATAATTTACCATCAGACCTTTTAAAACCCTATCCCTGCTTCAGCATAGTGTTCCTTGTCTGTAGAAGGAGTCATTAAAGGAATTGAAACCAGTGACTCTTTAGTTATGAAATTATTTAGGAAATTAATAAAGAGCAAGAGAGACGTCTCCCTTTCCTTTTTGGTTGTAGGGGGAGATGATGCAACAGAGACACAAACATCTGGAGGGTACTGCGTCTGGTCAGATGACGTTTTGCTCATTTTCTTTACCTTTAATGCTTCAAACCTCATATTTAGGTTCTTTAATTGAAAACTGTAATGATATTGACTGTTGGTTTATCTCCTGATGGATTGATTTTTTTAACAGCTCAGAGTAAAAGTGTTTCATTTGGAACCCTCTCTTCATCAGCTGGTTTTCCTCAAGGTTGCTCAACTCAGTTTTATTTGTTTCTTGACAAATGAAAAACTGAGACATTAAAATGGCTGATATGTTATCAGCTTTGCAAATGATTCTTTCACATTTAAGCTGTGAAGATAAGGACCATGGCATAGTACCTAATATTTCAACATTTTACAAATGGTGCCTTGCTTCCTTTTTAAATACAAATGTGGATCAGGCAAAATTAATGTATATTGACTCCTCGATCACTCCAGCAGTGACCAAAAGCCAAAGCGTTGAGCTGAAGCCACATCAGAAATATGTGGAAGTGCCTACTGATAATAAATTGAGCTTTGTCCACAAGGCAGAGACACTAACGCACAAAATAAGCACACTAGTGAATGCACTTTTTCCTCTGCACTACTAATGCCAGTCTTGCTTTGCCAGAAGTCTTCTTATCATGTTTTATGGCCTCCATTCTTACGTTGTCCTTTATCGGTTGGCAAATGTCACTTTTAGTCAGAAATAAGGATCGTTTGCAGGACATTCTTGAAGAAAGCAGTAACATCAAAAAGATCCCTCCTGATGGTCTTAGTGACATTTATAATATTAGATCATTTAAAAAGCTAGGGTTATTACATTAAATCCCTACACATCCACTATGTTAGTTGGGTATTATTTTCAAAAGTCACCATCAGGACAGAGATACAAAATGGAAGATGGAGGATTTTTTTCTATGCTGAAAGATTGTTGAGGTTATTGATTTTTTTTAAGTATAACAAACTGTGCATCTAAGAATAATTAGGAAACAGCCAATTATTTGTCTATACAAGCTGCAAAGTGGATATATTTGCAGTGATGATTTACTGACACCTGCCGGTAAATCAATGAATTACAGTTAAATGATCCTTCTGAGCAGTTATCTCTTTGGGATATAATAGGTTTGAACACCCACGAGATTAAAGATACCTTCATTGTTAATTTAAAATAAAATAAAATAACACAGAACTCAGATAATTCAGGGCTGTCATCTCTCACCCATTGGGAGTGAGACTCACCCATCTTCGTGTCTTCACACACTCTCACTCCATATTCTCAATTTCTCACACTAAATAATGACAGATATTAAAACTTAACTCCATTTGACTTATTTATGTATAAAAATACCATATTGATGAAAATCCAGTCCGCGTTTTTAATACAACCTTAGTGCTGACACACAAGGACCATGTTTTGCTCACAGGTTAAATAATTATCAGTCTAATTTAATACTAATTAAACAAACACAAATATTTTAATTCTTAAAGAAAGTTAACAACAACAACAAAAAAAGATAAAGAACCATTGGATATTATTTTTCAAAAGATCAGCCACCAAAGAAAAGACCAACCACATCTAGAGAGGATCTGCAGAACAACTCAGTTATCCAGGATTCATAGAGGAGAAACCACAGGGATGTTCTTCTTTTCTTATTACTTATCTTATTCATTTATCCTTATTTTGGTTGATTGAATATGTTTGGAAACTTTATTTCCATTACACCTTCCAAATGAGACATCCAGAGTAGTGCTGTCTCCTGTCATGGTGATTTAAAAAAAAATAAAATCTACAGCCTCCTAGAAGGCCTGAATTGTTTAGCCGTTTTGTCAATTGTAAGATTGATTGTAACTAATAACATAATGAATTGAGCTTTTTTTTTTTTTTATCTTAGCCAAATATTATTATTCCAAATATTCATACACAGTGTAGTTTGCATGGGTTTTGATTGCAAAGGTTCCTGTATCAGTGCCAGCAACCCAATAGTTTAATTTACTTGAACTGTAGAGAATAATTAACGAGCAAAGTTGTGAAATTCTTAGTTTAAAGTATTTATAAGATGCAAGTGTTTTAGTGGAGCCCTTTCTGCTTTACTTCGATTCTCTAAAAATCACCAGAATGTAGAAAATAATCTATATTGCGAGAAAAATGTTCCACATGACCACAGTCCACTTAATGTTACTCAGTATAATTTATTGTGCTATAAATATTCCACATTTTGCCGCTTTGTTTCAGTTAAATCCTCTGGAAATCTCCAACCTTTAGCTGCACCTATCCTCATCTAATCCTCACAGGGTTTCCTGTCCAAACTATTTCAAAATCTCACCCCAAGGTTTGGTGAAAAGTTGGCAGCCCTGGATTCTACTGTATTCAAACCCCAAGCTAATGTTTTAGGACTTCATATAAAAACAAAACAGGAGCTTTAACACTGTTAGTTGTGGCATTTTGGACAACGACATGATAGTGTCGAATAATAATATAAAATGTATAAAACTACTAATGCTAATTTCAAATAAATTTCTGATTGTTAATTGTTGCTACCTTAAACGCCGGCGATGTCAGAGATTTAGATAAAACAGGAACATCCTCCAAGCCAAAGCTCAGATCCACACCGGTATCGTCATTCATGCTGTGGCCTAGCTGAGGAGAGTAGGACCTCCTGGTTAAAGAGAGGAGTTTACCTGCTGTATGTAAACAAACTCAGAAGCTACGTCAAAAGCTTCCGCTTCCGGTCGCGATATTAGCGACTGTCTCCCCCTAGCGGTAAGATGGAATCACTGCATATCGGAAGCGACAGGATTCTTTAAAAGCGATCATCATTCAATTACAATATACATTTTGACAGTTATTTCCTAATGGGTGTACACTTTAGGTAATGTCTGTCTTAATGCTTTATTTACACTTGTTTTTTTGTTGTTTTTTTTTGTTTGAGCTGCTGCTGATACAAACCAGCTGGAGAAGGAACCTGGAGCTTACCATTTGTTTTTTGAAAGACTGACTTGGAGACTTGTTTCAAGTTGTTTTTAATTGGTTAATTTTGTCACTTAAATAGTCTCTTACTATTGTTTTCGCTAAGTAAAGGGTAGTGTTGTTTTATTTTTTTAATAGAATGCTTTAATTAATTTTGTATTTATCGGTTCTTTGGTTATGTCGTGCATCCCTCGTGGTAGACTTGGGTTATTCCATACCTATTTAAGCAGCCTTTTGTTCTTTGTTTGCAGGTCAGTTTTGTCTGTGTTGAGTTAGTTCAGTTGACCTCAGTTACATTAGGCCCAAATTTGTTATTTATTTTTTGATTTATTCTTACATAAAATCTTTTTTTTTTTTTTTTTTTACTATTTTTGGAAAAATTTAATTAAATTATTTCTACTTTGAACATTTTTTTTGGTCCTTGTTGTCCCTGGTCCCCCACAATGATGCAATATAGATCTACAATCTATTTTGATTTGTAATAGCTAATTTTACATTTCTTTCATGTGATCTAACAAAAGTACTTCTCCTTGTCTTATAAATGACAGAACACCTTTAATGGAGCTACATTAAAACCTTCGAGCACTATTTTTTTGTGGAAGTTATTCTATAAGAGATACAATTTCCGTTATTCTCAGTCTTAATCATCTTTTTCTGACTGGTTTAAAAAACAAACAAAAAACCCTCACAATAATCCACAAAGCTAGTGAGTGTAAATACTTAAAGAAAAGCCACATATAATACGATGCTTTACGACTAGAATATGGTAAATAACTAATTGCACTGTTAAAACAAACCACTACATATTTTATATAAGGGGGTTATACCCCAAAATATGATTATTGCAATGCATTTATATACAACCAATAAATTAGATATGTTTCATCCATAAATTTTATTGTATGATCTACTTTGTCCAAAAGACACTAAAAGTCCCCACATGAGGGAAGAGCTACAAAAAGAAATAATGAATGAAGCTTCCCACACAATGCTGTATTTGGGCACATCAGATGAAAATGGAGAGGATGGAGAAAATTGACTCAAAGTTTCATGTGGAAATCATGGTTTATGAATCTGGAGGAAGAGTGGGGAGGTACATAATCCATGTTTCCTGGAGTTCTGTGCAAAGTTCTTACAGTCAGCAAAAACGTCTGCTGAAAAAAAAAAAAAATAGAAGTGCGGCTGATTTTAGTTTCCAGCAGGATTTTGTTGCTGCCAAAGGTAGCAAAAAGCTTATTTCAAGACCAGGTGCCAGTTTGCTGTGTTGAACACAAGACTGACCTGAACCCCATGAATGACTGGAGCATTGTCAGGAGGAAGCTGAGAGACCAGAGCTAACAATGCAGATGATCCGAAGGCAACAGGCTGATCACCTCCATCCTTCACCACAATTAATAAAAAATGATAATAATAGTAAAAATAACCCTTATTGTCCCACAACAGGGAAATTAAGGAAAACAATACAATATATATATATATATATATATATATATATATATATATATATATATATATATATATATATATATAAAAGTATTGATACAGTTATTCATACAAACTAGGCCCAGCCAATAATGGTGTACAAAGAAATCTTATGTCGACTGAATTTCATCCAACATAAATATAATTTTAAAAAATGGGACATTGATTTTCTTTATTTTCTTTTTTAGGTGTAATGTAAGTAAAAAATAACAGTGCTTTATGTCCAGTTTACTATAAACGGCTCCATTTGAATAAATTGAAGCCCCTAGCTATTGTAACTAGCTCTTGCTCCTTTACCTTTCATGGGGTCAATGGTAAGACCAGCCTTTAATTCATATCGTTGTGCAGTGAAAATAAACAGGAATGATGCAGTTAAGAGCCTCACTGCCTAAAGAACAACAGGAAGCATAGAGGCTCCTGTTCCAACCTACTTCTTTTAAATTTTTGCTGTATTTGGACAGCACTTATCATAGCAAACACAGGCGCACCTTTGGTTTGGCTTAAGAGTTCCTAACAATGGGAAAATGGGACGGGCCCGTCCGACCAGTCTTTATTCAGTAATTTCTCTTCTAATTTAAAATGTTGTTTTTTCATTATTTCTGTACTGTTAATGCAGATTGAAACTTTTTTCTAAGTTTCAGAAGACTTCTCAGAGCTGCAGAAAAAGTTGATTCATCATAAAATGGTTGTATTTCTTTATTTTAAACACTAGGGGGCATGCTTAATACAGCAGAAGAAATAATGGGATTTATTTTCTTATCATTGACATTACAATGTAATGTATCAGAAAGATATCATTATGGACTTTTTGGCCTCCCTCAAAAGAAAAGATCAGTAAAACAAAGAATAGAAATAAAACATAACCATATTAAGACTTTACATTAACTGTCATTAATTTTAGCTACCTGTCTTATGCCTAATGCGACATTTACACTAACTATAAACAGTATATTCTTAGCCCAAACCTCAACCTTAAACTAATCATCATGATACCTTTAAACTTACCCCCTGGTTTTAACCAGGATTTTGCCACATTAGGACCATTAGGTCCATTCCATGTATCTTCAGAAGTCAAAATATTTAGCTTCCACATCATAATTTTCAAACAAAATGCCTCAGAAAGTCAGAAATATAAGCCAGAAAGTTGGTGTATTGGAATGCCTGACCTGTTCATTAAAAGGGGGATGCTATTCGCTTTAACTTTAGTTAAACTTGCTGCTTTTATTGGAGCATCAGTCGTCTAAGTCCTCATTAGATCATACCAGAAAAAGTCCTAAATAGATAACACATGGACATACGCAAACACACAAAGTGCAGTGTGAACTGTTTGCATTTAGCTCTTTCTTAACCTGACTAGAGGAAGGAGATCCTTTTTCCGTGTGAGTTGGGGATGTCTGACTTAAGTTGACTGTAAAAAGGCAGTTTAGGAACATAAGGAACAACCATATCTCTGATAGAAGATGGAGTTTGGCCATTTAAAGTTTCATGTGTGAGAAGGAGGATTTTAAATTCTTTTCTGGATTTAACAGGAAGCCAATGAAGAGAGGCTAGGGTAGGAGAGATATGATCTCTCCTATCCTAGCTCTCTTAATTATCTGCATATAACTGTATTTTAATATTTGGCCACACATTTGGTAAATTATTTAAACAAAGAATGAATAAAATCAGTCTTATTATCGAGCCTTGTGGGACTCAAACAGCAATTATAATTTTGGAAATTTGCTAATTTTAGAAATGTCATGATCACAATTTTGAATTTTGACAAAGAATAGCTCTTTAAACATTATACTTTAAAGCAACACTAATGACTATTATCTAAGGTAAATAATATAGATTGTAGCTCAGCTAACATCTATTTAGAATAGAACATTGAATAAACATTTTTATATGTGCTCTACAGCAACACCGTGTAACTTTTAGCTTCTAGGCCATTGGACCTTTGCTTTTTTCTCCATCTGTGTTTTTGAATCTGATAGCAGACCACTTAAGACCAGCAGATTGAGAAGTCATGGAGTTACTTGTAAAAAAGACAAATCCACATCCTGTCAAGGCTCAGAACTGAATACCCAGTATTTAAGGCAGACAGAAAGTTAGATGTCTCAAAAAGTGTTTATTTGAAAATGACGGATTGGGAGTGGGCAGCTCGGGCTTCTAAGGCAGGAACCTCTGCAGGAGGAAAACATAGGTTAGTGACCACATTAATCTGACGAAGGATGATTACGAACGTGTGAGTCACTAACCTGGTCTTAAAGTTCACTCTGTGCCCAGAAGAAGAAGTGGATTCTGCCTGCATGGCTGCCAGCACGACGCGAAAAACACTGCCCAGAGAGGGTCAGATGCTGAGGCCTTGAAGGCAGCAGAACTGACAAGAGATCAGATCCAAGCAGATGAAGGAAGGCAGGACAATACAGACGGCGAAGTCAAAGCTTATGTCGAAGAGGTTCAGGAGTCCAGGCCAAAAGATCAGAGATCCTAAGAGGTACCGAAGGGAAATCCAGGTCAGTGTCAGGAAGCAGATCAAGGTACAGTCAACAGTTGAATCCAGCAGGAGTCCGAAGACAGCTCAGGAAAACATCAGAACAAAAAACGGCAGGCTTAGAGGTCCAAAGGCAGTACAGGTCAGTCCAATCAGAAAGCAATCAGGTACGCTAGATTACTCTCACCTAATGGTGCGTTCACACCGGACGCAGCTGGCGTGACAGAAGCAGCGAGTTTACATGCAAAGTCAATGATTGATGCGCGTCAAGGCGCAGCAAAAGGTCCCGCGGCGTGTTTTGAGCAGCAGGAGCAGCGCGTCCGAGCAGCTGAAGCAGCGCGTCGGGCGCGTTTAAGCATCTGACGCGCGTGGCGCACCGCAAACGCGCTGCTGCTCGAGATGGAAAAATTGAATTTTTGCTGCTCGACGCACCGCGTCAACCAATCAGAGAAGCTGATCTGGGAGCTGGCAGAGAGAGAGAGACACAGCGCTGATGATCAGAGCACTATGATCACTCCTCTGAAACAGTTTATTAATGCCTAAATTTACTTAAAATGCAGAAATCTGCCGGCAGAATTTGTCCGCTTTTATTATCCTGCTGCCTGCAGTTTGGATTATTTAGATGAAAAACACCTACCAGCTGCCGCGGTGAACCGCGAGGAGGCGACCCGGCCAGAGGCTGCTGATGAAGGGATTCCTACTGTCGGCGCACGGCTGGTATGTGGGGGTCTGAGCGGCTCCGACGGAAAAAATATTGCAAGGCAGGATGATGATCTGAATGAACTG